AACCCTGCAGCGTTACTTCCTGCCCCTTTCTCCTCTGTGTTGCTGAAACATTGCCGTCAGTAATATGGTTTGGTCTCTGTGTCTCTATGATGTTACTGTGTGCAAATTCATATTTGAAGTATAATCCCCTTACTGTATGTTTACACTGGCATTCAGAGCTTTGCATGCTTTCCTGACTATGTAATTTTAAAAGTGACAGATTTCTCTTAAAAATTTTAAGATGATGAACCTTAAACTGGCAAATGTTTTAACAGTTTCATTAGCTTCTGTTAGGACTGATATTTGGGATTAAAACTTTTAGAAATCTCCAAGTAAGGAGAATATAAACCATTTAACTTTGTTTACGGAATGTATCGGTTTCCATATCAAAAATGTCGATTTTTCTATCTGTTTTATAAGCAGATCAATTACTCGGTATGTTAAAACCAGGAAAGGACCTATAAATAGCATCCAAGACACTGACAGTCAATTGTAAAACTCTTCAGTAATGAATGTAAACATTTGCAGTGAAAATGTTGATCTGTGTCACTGGTAGGTTTTTTTTCATTCCTTGTAACAAGTGATACTTTTATTTTCATGATTCCTAACTTCAAGAAGAAAATTACTTTATGCTTCTGTGTTAGCGCTAACTCCACTATTTTAGAATAATCACAATGACAATTTCTTGGAAGAGATGATAGGTGAGGATATGTTCCACTTATGAAGCCTTTGCTGCAGCTGAGAATAGAGAAGTCAGAACACTCCCCTGAAGATAGCATGCATGTTTTCATTAATGTCCTCTCTCCTTTTTTTCTTAATTCCATGGGAAAGTAAGGAAATTCCAGGTTTATTTCCACTAAACAAAAGGAAGTTAAAAAAAAAAAATCCCTGCAATCGCTGCTCTGTAAAGGTGAGCATGGAATCATTTACTCAAATTATCTTTTAAATTCTCAGAAAACCCCCAAACCCTAAATTAAATCTTCTCCTAGACACCAGTGCGCTGCAGCAGGACAGCTCTGTCATGCAAGGGAAGAGCTAGGACAATAACTGCTCAGGGCTGCTTTCGTATAAATGTCATGATGACGGTTGGCTCAATTGTTCTTGTCCTTTTGCAATGCATGCGATTTTGTGGCAGTAGGTTACATTTCCAGACGGGCAATGCTTCAGCAATTACATGGAATCAGTACATTCTCACACGACGAGCGTCACTATACTGCTCACACATGGATGAACAAAGGTAAGACTCAAAAACACTGGCTTCATTTTTATCCTAGCATGTGAGTTGAAGTACCCTGTGTGTTTCTGTCAGTGAGGTGGGTAGCAAGTGAGAGGTTTTGCAGTTGCTTTTAAATCAGAAGTCTTCAGTTTGTATGCTGCTGCTCATAGCTGGATGTAACACTCAGTCCAGTGTTACGAAGGAAGTTGGTTCCTGAGTTGCCATCTGCATCTCACTAACTCAAACCATGCATAGGACAGGGCTGAACGAAAACATTTTGAAGAAAGCAGGACTACTGTTGGGAGAGTACTAGTGTTATTATTGTGTGGTCTTAACCCATGGAATGGAGCTTTTTGAAATGCACTGACTGCAGAAAATAATGCTTTTGCTCAGAGCTGCTTGTAGTCTAAGAGCCTGAATAACAGCATTTCCCAAATGATAGTCACTTGTTAGCTGTCGGAGGACACTGGACCCCTCTGATGGTGCTCTTGGCTCCTCTGCTGGTAGCTGCAGGAGCAACCTGGAGACCTATTTGGAAAAAAAGAGCCGAGAAATCCAGGTCTGCAAGAGGAAGAGGAGGAAAAAAGACATGGTCGTCTGAGACAGATGGCTGGGTGGGAGCAGAGGAATCCCGGGACCTGGATATGTCCCTACTCAGGGAGCACTGGGCTCCCTCAAAGCGAGAGGCAACTTAGAGGCAGGAGCACATTTATGAGAAAGTGTCATGTAGCAGAATGTTCTGCAGAGGAGGAGAAGAGGGAAA